TTGATATGACCATCGGCATCCATATAGGTAACAAAAATCATTTAAGAATCAAAAATGCAAAGGTAGGTAGATAATAGGTTATAGTGAGTAAGATGCCTACCGTCTTAGTGGCATACCAATAAACGATGGTTACTGCCTAGGCACGTATTATAATTCAATATTTGACTATGAATTACAGCCTACAGGTGCCTACTTGCAGGTATGTTGAAGAAAAATTGTTTTTATAACCTTTCAAATTATTTTTCTAGCGTGTAATATTGTTTTAAATGTAATTAGTATTTAAAAAACGTATCTTAAAATCTATAAAATTATCTTTTTTTCAAAGTTGCCGAGTGAAAAGAAGCATAAAAACATTTAGAACCTCTTTTTTCTCAACGGCGCGGCGCACCCAATGATGAGCGAATATTGGATAGTATGAAGACTATTTTTTTTAATTTTTTTTTTTTATGGTACCTAGTATCTACCTAGGTATTACAAATTATGTAATTTAAATAATAGATTAGGTTACCTCTATGGCTCTATTCAACGTATTTCATTAAAATACGTTGATGTAAGACCAGTAACGTTGAAACGTGCAGGTAAATAGGTGCATGGAGTCTCAGGGGCTGAGGAGCGTAGTTATACAATAGGGGTAGATCTCAGGTTGAATTTGAAAGGATGACTGCATCTGACTTGGCTACCGATATTCCAGGCCGTCTTGTGACAGTAGAAATGTGAAATGTACACCCGAATTTATTGGTTCCCAATATAGACTTTCAAATTGAAACATTATATCATATTAAACTATGAAATATAGAGAAACAGAATCATAATTTATAAGACTGTCTAAAAGTAAAGAATATTACACCTAAAATATTATACCTAAAACAGAAATGGGCAAATTTAAATAAAATAAAATGAATAGATTATAATTTATAACTAATATTTGTTATACATGTTTACCTCATTAAAATAATAAATCTAAAAAAAACAAAGAAAAATTATAATTTTTTTACTATAAAAATTAATTAATTTTAATTAATTGAAAAACATTATCACTTACCTAAGTTGAAACAGAAAAACCGTTTTTAACTATACCTGCATAATATGTAACAGTCTGTATAAAATGGGAAAAAAAATTGTAAATGCTTTTAAATAGGTAACTCTGAACCAATTAAATAATTAAAGATTTAAATAATAATAATAATTCAATAATTCAATAATTCTAAACCAACCTTTCTTAACAACTTGGAAACCAATTCAGAAACAAATACAGTAAACAATACAGTGGACCAAAAGTATATGGTATGTACTACACATTTTGAATTGCACAACAAGATTGGTAATTTCAAAATTTATAATAATTTTAATATTCTATACTCTATACTCTTTCATTATACTTCAAAATGTTACGATATTGAATAAGAAACAATAAACTTTTCGCAGTATTGTCTAGATTTTTCATAATTGGTACCTTTTCTCTTCTCAAAATGCAAGTCCACACAACCACTCAGAACTTATTAAATATGATACTCCATAATCCGAAGGTACTATATAATATTGTTAAGATTGACGGAACATATATTTTTTTTAAGTACAGGTTTGACCGGCGCCCGCCGTCAAGATAATAAATATAATGTATGATGATAGTTATACAACAGGTCGAAGACAATAGTATTATATAAACATAACATTATACATTGTACAATTGTACATAGGTACACTTATTCCAACATAATGTTAATTAAATAAACAAAAAACGCACGCCATACGTTCATATGGCGTAAACACCCACTAACTCGTGTCTTGGCTTTAACTGATTTTGGTCCACGATCACTGCAGGAAACCGGACACATTTTTTAGGAGAAAGGCTAGTGTGAAATCACGGAATGTCCATTGCCGTTATACAGACATATTGCACCAAAGAGAACAAGAGAATTTGCGGTTCATTGTTGGATCAGGACCAAGCCTGCAGGGCGGTTCTCGTTGGTCCGCGACGACGACGACGACGCTATGCTCTATACAACTTAGGGCCGACTGCGGCTCAGTCGGCAGTACTCTCTGCAAGAGGATATAGTGCTAGGCGGTGATAACTATGGCATTCAGTAGCAGCACAGCCCACAGGATCAGGATCAGGAGCAGCTATAGAGGATGATTCTAAAAATCAGCCTTCGCCGAAGGACCACAATCACGGAAATGCTGCCCGCATCCTTGAAACCAACCCGTGATCGTTCTGGCGGTCAGCCGGGCGGTTCGGACAAAAAAGGTGGCTGCAGATCGAAGTGTGCGGTTTGCGTCGGTCCCGGAGTGGTGACAGAGAAGTGACAGTGAGCCATCGAGCTCAACCTCCTGCTTCACCGGCTGATTCATGTTCGGCAGCATTGTTGTACTACACCACGCCAATCCATCGTCACGACCCAAAGAGTACGTGGCCCGGTCGCCGCGCAGGTCCCTGTCCTCCGGCATCAGTCACATGGCATTCCAGTCCGACAGCCCGCCTCTATAATCCTCTCGTGGTCCTTGGTGCAATATGTCTCGTTAGGCACCACTCCGGTTCCACGGGATGAACGTTCCCCGATGGTCTTTAACACAACCAACATTTCTCCACAAGTCATAAGCTTAACTTATGGGGCTAAAGTAGTGGAGTGGCTATGCCCTCAAAAATGATGCATACCTACCATTCTCCTAAAAAAAATATTTTCTGAACTAGGTGGGTGATATAATATTAAACTATAACGATTTAATACAAATTTGAATTTACTATAATTTTATATCAAATTTTGCCTATTTTTTGAACGAATATAAAACGGTGATAAATAGTTACACTGAGGCATTATTTTGTCTGACGGGCCTCAATAATAATAATAATATAAATATAGAAATGTATATCAAATTCAAGTTTAGAAATTAGAATATATTCGTTAGAACGGCGTTGACCGATAGGAAGAATTGACCCAAACTGTGGACTCTTAGTGCAATACCGCAGTCCCAGACCACCTACCTATTGGCTATTACATATAAATAATAAATATAGTATCAGTTCTATCTTAAAGGCTATAGGAGCAAATAAAATAGAATATGAAGACATTTTTCATTCTATACAGTGAATCCAGAACCACCCGAGTTGCATCAATATAAATACTTACGAAGGCACTTGTATAGTCATATATGGTTTGTGAAAAAGAAATCATAAATAAACGTAAAGCCATAACAATATTATACCTATACCTAGACAATAAAAGATATGCAGGGGCATAACTGCATAAGAATGATTTAAATTAATCATTAAAAATCCGTTTATTTTGCTTAATTGTTTCCCACGATGCCCAAATTATGAATTTAGAATTATAAATTATAAATATAAATTTACAATTTAGTCGTCTACATTGCAGCATTAAAATTACGAAGAGAAACTTTTATGTTAAGATACATTATTTAAAGTCCCCACAATATAAAATCGATTGCATCGTTATTTTATTTATTACTCTGTGAAGAATGAAAATATTTCAAGCGATAAACGTAAAAATTAAATGTAAATGTCTTACTGATATGACTATAATATATTATAAATTATAAGTTATAGCGTTTAATATATAGGTATGAGTAATGAGCAACACCTAAGTTCAACAATTATTTGACTAAGTATTATAAAATATTAAATTCCTTATCTCGCATGAGATTCGTACAACAAAAAATTGTTAGCCTTTATATTACTTAATAGGTATTTGATAACTAGGTAATAGGTATATAATAAAGTTTGAATAAGTAAAAATGTAATATATTTTTTACCGTTACGCTAATTGTGAGCGCCCATAGGTAACATTTTAGGGGGGGGGCCAAAATAAAAAATTTCGGTAATAAGGTAATATTGTGGTAATATTTATTGAGCTACAAGTTCATAATATTTTTTTTCCAGGGGGGGAGTGGCCTCTCTTGCCCCTCCCCCCCCCCAATGGGGGGCGCCCATGGATATGGGTAGGTATGGACTATATGGCCAATGACTAAGGGTTATAACGCGTAATAAGTTTTATCGAAATTATATTATAGATTCTATAGCGGAGCATCAGATTGTATATTCAGTTGAAAACCGGGCCAACCTAGGATTAAACAGTTCCGGCAGTGTCGTCGACGCCACAAAAAAAAGGTATAGCCATATAGCAGGTAGGTATTTTGTAATTAGTCTTTTATATTATAAATTTAATAATAATCATACCTACTCAAATAAAATTCTTCGTACACCACTTGGTGTAATAATTACCTATACTGTGTCCAGCGAGAAACCCGCCGATTCTGTGCATCCCCGGCATCACCCTACTATCGAAATCGGTTTCCCTATGGCAGGGTATCGAGTGGGGATGCTCCTCTCGCTGACAGAGTATGGGTATAATGTGTAGGTGCCAATATTAATTATAATAATTTTATTGCACAAATACATTTTTCAGAATAGTTTAAAGTAATAACATAATTAAAATAATAATAACAAATGCAATTATTTTTGTCTTGTAGCTGGTGTCCTTTGGTTTTCGATTATTTTACATTTAATATTTGTTTATTTTATTTAGCTTCGCACTATTTTAAAATTTGCAATGTAAATACCATTTAAAAATACATAAATACTTTATGTACTACCTATTTATAATATTTTTTAGTAAGTATACAAATAAAATATTTTTGGAAATGTTAGTTGATAATTGATTTAAAAAAATTAATTTTAAAATGAAAACGCACTAACTACATTGGATGAAGTCAGAGGCCTAAGACGTGCCCAAAGTTAGCTCTGTTGTATTTTATCAATAGTTCTTAATATTCTAAAATAATTAGTATAAGTAACCATAATCGTGTATAATACGTATCGTCTGTGATTTCATAACATTTCTGTTGCTTCGTGTCTTGGTGATAATAATAACGCTCGTTCGTGTTTGGTCGTTTGACTGTTTGAGCAAGATAATAGAATTTCCATTTAATTATTGAGCAGACGCCAACGCCGAAATCGTGATATAAATCACAGTGGTAGGTACATATAACATATTATTACATTGTTATTATTATTCTAATCTATATACGTTTGTGGTTTGTATAACATTTCATACATTACATTATTATACTTATATTTTATAATACATCGCGTTCACGCTCTCTCCGTACACTTAAAACACAATAATAGCAACAACAATAATAATTCACTGCAGTAAAGTACACAAAGTTATATTATTCCGTATTCATATAATATGTAATTCTCATAATGTATCTCACTACACGCGTGCAGCCAAATTCGTATGTAATAATTATGACACTTGGATACGAACATTATTAACATTATACAATTTTTGTTGACTGTTAAAGTATATATATATATAAAGAAAACGCGATAAAAAATAATAGTATTCATTCAATCGATTACACTAGATTTGACCGGTAATCGTCTTCGATGCGTTCTAAATGAGTACTTAAGAATTCATCCACTGTATCGGTGTCCCATCGTTCGATTGCCAAAACCTATGAATTAAATATTGTGTCAGTATAGGTATTTTCATAGAAATACCTTAATGTATAGTAATAATATTATATTTTAATAAGTATTTGATGTTGATTTTTTTTTAATACTCAGATTTGTATTATATTAATAAAAATGTATAAGATGTATTAAGATGTACCTAAAATATATTAAATCAATTTCGAATTTGTATAAAAATTATTATTACTTAATAGCTCATGTCTCGTATTCTTAATACCAAATAATTAAAGAATTTATACCTCTTGCACATTTCCACTGCTGTCCATGAGTTTAATTAGTGGATCCAACCCACGTACATATCTGATCGTTAAGTTAGGGTACTTATTGGGACGATCGCTTTTTATGAACGCTAAAACAATATTATTTAAATAATTAAATAATTATTTATGTTATTACAAAAATCATGAATGTATTAAATCGAATTAATCTAATTTTCAGTTTTACTAATCAAACATTATAATAACTCTACAAAACCTATATAATATTATAATTTATAACTAATAACACTAATATAGTTTAGTACCACCCCCCCCCCCAAAAAATGAACATTTTTTAAAGGCCCCACTTGTAATTTTTTAGAGAAGGATTTAAGCTCCCCTAAAATTCAATTAAATCTTCGTCTACGTAACTACAAATTACAATCAACAAACAACAAGTCATGACAAATTAAAACAAGTCAAAATATTTTGTTAATGTTATCAAGTAGGTACCTCGTACAGTCGTACCTATATGAATAATGAATTGATTAAATTAACATATGTTATGAATTTCAAGTGTTTTCAGTTATTCGTTTTTAAATTACAACAAAATAAGAAAAAGAAAATAGCTATATGAGAAATCGAGTGAATATCCAATTTTGTAAAAATGTCAACTTCAAACTCTCATAAAAGATTATTGTGGATATGAGCTCAACTTTTTTCTTAATATCCACCAAAAAAAAACTTTGAAGTATCTTGTATTACATTTTCAAGTTATTTGACAGAGTGAAAATTGTTTATCGACATTAGTTAAAAAAAAACAAATAATAATCGATAATATCATGCCTATAAATAGTTTAACTAGGGTCAAAATATTTTGAAAATTGTAGGCTGTATAGACAATGCTAACACAAACATTTTTTTTTTAAAGGTACCTACACTAAAAGCCAAAATCAATTTTTTCGAAAACTGGTTTTGTTGAAGAAAATCAATAGCACTTTAACTGGTCCAAACCATGATCAGAGACACAATAAAAATAAAAAACACGCATCATTGTAAAATCAATAAATTTATCGCTCTGCTTAGAACCTAAAATATGTAGGTACAACATTATGCTGTACAATCATTACAAAATGGTAAGTAATATGATTTATGACATACAATTAAAATTACTAATTAAAACATAGTAACAAGACAATTTTTATGTGGCAATATCATTAGACACATAATACTTCAAGTTCATAATGAAATAACTGACACAAAAACTTAAAATTATAATTCAAAATATAAGGGGTATTTTGTATTATGGCGAGAAAACTGAAAAATGAATTTATATATTTTTTTATGTTATTATAATATATATCATAGAAGGGCACGTCACCTTATAATAATTGGTATGTATTATCACAAAGTTCCACATCAACAAACTACTTTTGATTGCCTTACATCTTTACTAAACAATAATATTGTTTGTCCACTTAAAAATATGTGTAAAATGTAAATGTGGTTTTATTTCATTATTAGACACATGTATTGACCCAAGTATATGACTATTTCATCAGTAAAGTAAAATATTTTAGATTAAATTGTACCTGATATAACTAAGTTTCTTGTCAAATTGTTCACTAAAAAATTTAAATCCTATTGTATTCCCAAATTTTCCCAAAAGATTAATAATGAGTAATAACACAATATGATAATATTACTTTATAATTATTACTAAGTAACATATCAAAATATTTTTTCTTTTAATTTGTGGATAGCTAAGCAAAAAACATATCATATTAGTTATTACTTTGTGGAGATCTCATACCCTATCTTTTTACCAATTAATCTGACTCTTATTATTTTATACATAGTTAACATAAAAAACTTAATTTCTTACCCGGTACATTTGAAACACTAAGTATGTAAATAAATTGTAATATTAAATAAAAATATTTACATATAATAAAATATATCAGTTTGAAATGAAATTAACCATATAGGTACCTTGTATCTGAGGATAAGCACCAAATTTACATGTACAGACTTCCAATCTGGCTTTTGCATATACTTTAATAGACTTTTCTTCATCAATTTGACAACAGTTTGTGCAGTGTTCTCTGTAATAAAATATAATAATTTAAATTTATTTTATAATTTAATCTAATTGTAATCATAATCATGAATGAAAATATGCTTAAGTATATATTATATTCTGTTTTTTTAATTAATATATTAAAGGTATGTTACACCACCATGTGTTGTTTCCACCTAACAAACACACAACATAACACGTCCAGTTCATCTTGACACTCGGCTACCATTACAAAAACTATATATTTTTTCCAATGTAATATGGTTTTTGAATCAAAGTTTTATTAAGATCATAATAATTACAAAGTATCAAATGAATTGGATAGGTTATTACTATGTTATTTTTAATATTAAAGTAAATTAATCAAACAAACAAATTAAAGGTTCCTAAACAACTATTATGTAAGTATAATTTATCTGATCTTTTAATTTTGAAATAAGTTATGTGCATTTTATAATATTATTGTTCATTGTCAGTGAAAATTAATAAATGCGATTACAACATCCACTTAATTTTTAAAATAATATCCATTTTATTTTATTACAGATTGTAAATTTCTTTATATTATAAAAAATAATTTTAATAAAAAAAAAATAATAATAATAATATCCATCCTATTCAATGTACAAAACAGAGAGTAAATGTTCATAATTTTATGTAGTTTTTAATTTTTATAATTGTACAGTCATTTTTTAATTACACAAGAAGTGCAGTATGATTTTTTATATTTCAAACAGAAACTACTATTAGTTATAAATTATTAGATATAATGTATAAATGTTGAGTATTTTTTTCTTCTTCTACATAATATACAATTTTATGTTTTAAATTATTTTATCTCTTTAAACTACACAATTTTTCAACAATCTAAAGGTTGCACTAATTTTGAGATTTGATTTTAAATAAAATGATGGTTATATTTTAAGTGACAAAAATCTAACATTCTATTAAATTTCTTAATTATTGTAATGAATCGCTTTGCATTTAAATTTTATTTTACAATTTAAATTTTTAAACCTACAAATATATTTTTACTCTTTTAAAAGTTATTTGACCTAATGAATTCCACATAATACCAGTTTATATTGTTTTAAACTTAAATACATATTTAAATTGGAAACATCATAACTATAGTCTTAAAATAATATTCATACCTTAATGATGTCAACTGGAACTTTTTAAGTTGATCACAAGATGAACACAAAAGATTTGCTTTATTGAAACCCAATAATGAACATTCATTAGTCGTATAATCTCCATTGCATCCATGTCCCTATCATAAACAGACATTAATTATTTAAAAATTATTATTTGAAGAAAAAAAATGTATAGGTAATAGAACATACAAAAAACATCAATAGTGGAATTATTAAAAGTTTGTTCTGCATTTTGTAAGTAGCTTTTAAGTAGATTTTAAGTATTTTCAAACAAATTAAAAACAAAAACAAACTGCCTTAATAATGGGAATTTATTGTTTTTAGCTATTATACTATCACAATTGCTTATGAATTTAATATATTTTGCAATTTAGATACAATTTGTATTTTATTAATTTATTATTATAATTCATAACAAAAACATATTTTAAAAAATCAAAATTTATATTTGAATAAATTTACTTTTATGTTTTGTTTACGTTTTGGTTATCATTTTTTAACACTGCCGGACTTATCATCAAGAGTGTCGTGTGCTTTTTTTCGTATTGTGATTGGCCGCGGTAAATATTAATCATGGTATCATTCCCTACCAATCCACTTTGGACCATGTTATACCTGGATATTTTCCCAGTTGACCACAGAGGCACAGAATAGATTTCATCATGGACCCAGACCAGACCAGTGCCGAGCTCAACATATTTGATCACCGCACATATTCTAAGGTCGTGGCGATGTAGCCTAAGCTAGCTGTGCTCAGCTTTGAAGTGTGGACCACGGTCCACGATTAAAGATATTTTGCCACCAATCACCATCATAATATTCTGAATCAACAAACCTCGGTCTTTAAGATCTGCTATACTGTGCCGCTTTGAAATATTTTCCAAGTATTGTAGTAGAACTAGTAGAATAATAAATATTTTAATATTCAACATTTATAATACAATTAATATTGATAGAATATCCAATATTACAATTTACAATACGATAACTTAACACTTTAATAGTAATTATATACGTATTTTGAACTATAGACTATAATAGTCTATAGATATTTTTATATTTCATTACAATTTAAAAATAATAGGACCTATAATGTATGAAAAAATGTATAATGTGCATTGGGCATTTGTGCTGTATGCCTGTATGGATGTTTATACCTCCATGGCCCTGACGCTTGTATTCACTATTCAGTTACAATAATTAATAATATTATCCCTGCATACAATTCATTTTCAAAAACCCCTCCAATATAATTGTAAACCAGAAACCATTGAAATGCAACCACTACCACCTATTAGTAATTATTGTAGACAGTACAGTTGTAGTCCCAGACGGCCGAAACATTACAATAATTATCTAACTACAACTGTTAATTAAAACTAAATTAGTTAGTTAATAGCGTGATTGAAATATATAGTAAATAACCATTGACCCGTTTATTATTTTGTTAATATGCAAGAATCACGGACGCTGGTGATCAAAACAAAATAATAAAAAACATCAAAATTAATATTATAAGTTCTTTGATAAATAACCTCAAACATTTATTATTTCCCTTCGACCCCTCAGCAGCCCAAACATTGTAAATTTAATGATAAGAATTATCAAACTTGATACATATTGTAATATTTTAGATGCATGTTCCTTACAATTTTTTCTCTAGTTTGGAGTTTCCATTTTAAGTGGATTTTTCGGACCATTAGAATATTTACTCAACTTGGCGGATAGAAGCATAGGTAATTTTTTACGAACTCCAACCATACGTTTATCCATTTTTCATGAATGCATCATTAAATATATATATTGAATCATTGAATATTATAAAGACGTAAAACTACAACCACGTGGCCTTTTTTGTTATAAACTCGTTTAATGCAAACAAAAATCTTTTTTTTTGAATTGAGTATTAACTATATTTATTGATTTTTAGCAAAATGCAGATCTTCGTGAAGACCTTAACTGGGAAAACGATCACTCTCGAGGTAGAGTCATCGGATTCAATTGAAAATGTGAAATCCAAAATTCAAGATAAAGAAGGTAATTACTACAATATTATACAATTAAAAGGTACTCATGCATTATGATCCTGGTATCAATCAAATTCAGTTGCTCAAAATGTATCTCCCCGACAAGTAATTTTTTCACTTACCAATATTATTTTTGGTATTGCTATTGAATACTACTGTGCTTACATATAAATAGATGAAAGTATATTAACATTTACCTTGATTATTTTTAGTATTTTATTTAATTGTACAAACTATAGCAAATTCATTTGATAAACTACACTTGGTGTATGTCTATTGTGTTTTCAGTAACTTGTCTGCTTTTATATCCTTAATTATTGTTATTAGTTCAAGAGAATAAAATAAATACTATTTCCATCATATAATTGTACAACTTAAAATTGGTCCCATTGAATACAAATATGTTGTATGTTAGAGTAATATGAGTACAACACTTTGGGTGGGTTTGGTGTCACATAATAGAATTAAGAAATCCATTTTTGTAAGCTTATAATAAATTGCGAAAAAAAATTCATTCAGGAAAAGAAGCTTACTGAAAACAATTTAAATTAGGTACATTAGTTATAAACACTCAAGGCTGGGCAAGTTAATGATATTTTTTAACTCCATTAAGTTACATTTGAATTTAAATCAAGTTAATAGTTAATCCAAAATTGTCTATCAGTTGAACTAAGTTAAGAGTTAACCAACATTTAATATTAACTTTTTAACCCAAGTTAAGTCAGTTCAAAAAAAAGTTTCTTGTTTTCATATATGTAATATAAAAATAATCGATACCTAAAATTGTTCATGTTATTAGACCAAAGAACTATTATTATTTTATGTGTTTCAAAAGGTAATGGTACAAATTTTTTAGCATACTTATAACTTAAAAAATGTGTACCAGCAATTTGTATTCTTACAATAGTTCACATAATTTTTAAAAAAAATGTATACTTTTAATAAATAAATAAAATTAATATATATATACATTTGAAATTATATTTATTGTTTTTCTGCAAATATTCCTAAGTATTAACTGACAATTTTATAATAATAAAATAACATTATAGACCTACTTTAAATTATATAAATATAATAAAATATATTTTTTATAGCTAAAAGTCTAAAACTCCCTTGTAGACACAATATAGGTAGGTAATTAAATATTTAATAAAAAAAATTATAAGAATCAAATAACGACGACGATGCTGAAAAATAACGGGTATTGATAATATTTGTAATTTCATTATATAGGTAAGTATTTATATTTTCTACAAATTTGAAAGCATATTACATAATAATTAAAATTGAAATTAACTTAACTTTAACTTATTAACACGTTAATGCCCAGCCTTGCCAATAGTATAATTAAATATTAAGTATTATATAATTCCATAGGCTATTTTATCAGTGTGAGTATTTTTGTTATGGTTAATTTTTCTGACTACCTCTAGGCTCTAATAGTATTTGTTTAAGTTATCTATAAAAGGTATAGCTGAACTTATGTATATAATATTAATATTTTGAATGTTTGGCACAGCATGCTGAATTTGTCCGTATGTTTTTCTTATCTTTGAATATATATTTTTTTTTATTGACTATTATTTTAACCATTTTTGTATATCTGCACGATATTGTTGCTTTATGGATGGGTTTTATAACAGGATAATTATAAGCAATGGGCTTATAACTATATTATTCTATTATCAAATGATATAAGTAGGAGTCACTTAGACAGAGAACAAATAATACAATGAATAGTGGTGGGTTCATAATACATGAGTACACTGATAATTACATTTTAAATAAGGTATAAACTAAATTTCTAGAAATAATGTGTTCAGTGCTACAAAATTTGTTTTTATTTATGTTTAATGGATTTTTTGTCTCCAGTTATTGATTAATAACTATAAAGTACCTATAAACAATACATAATTGATAATAATTGTACAAGCATCTATCTTTAAGACCCCAATAATTTATTGTCATAGTCTTGTGAAAAAATCTAATTAAAAAAATAACCTATCATTTTATTGAAACAATTTGATCTAATGTAATTAGTTCCTTGACTCTAGCACTGAAACATTGTTTTATATCATGACCTTCTCCAAAAATCCATTGTTGTAATTTATCAACAACAGTTGTAATTACTGCCTAATGCCTATACAGTATTACTCACATGTGGTATACTATACAATTTCTACTATTGTTATTATATGATAGAGTTTTACTCATGAAAAAATGTCTCATTTAGTCAAAAATAATTTAAATACTTTTCATGAACAAATATATTATTTTATTGTAAATTAATTAAAAATATTAATTTAGGTATTCCTCCGGATCAGCAACGTTTGATATTTGCTGGCAAGCAACTTGAAGATGGGCGTACTCTGTCAGATTACAACATTCAAAAAGAATCTACCCTCCACTTGGTTCTTAGATTGAGAGGTGGTGCTAAGAAACGTAAGAAGAAGAATTATTCTACACCAAAAAAGATCAAGCACAAGAAAAGGAAGATTAAGTTGGCTGTGTTAAAATTTTACAAAGTAAAAGAAGTTGCTATGAATACATATAATACATATTTGGGTAACGGTCCAATATGCGACCTACATTAATTTACGGTCTAATATCCGACCTACGTTATAAATGTAAAATACAAATAATTTTATCTAACATTTTTTGGAGGATAAACTATAAAGACGCAATTTCATATTTATTGTGCATAAAAGATAAATAATTCCTACATAATATCAATATTTAATATCAACTTATTATGGTTGTAATCATTCGTAAGCAAATGAGCGACCTAATTTTGATATTATAATACAATTTTTTCATTCCACTTCTCAGTGTCGTCAATGACTGTATTATTTCAGTCCGTATTGTTATGAAACGTATTTTTCATATCACTATCAGTCAAAAATTCATCAAAGAAGGTTTTTGGATTTTGACACAATCTCCACCACTCTTCTTGAAGTTGTCTATCTAGTAAAGATCCATTTATTTTGCTATTATATTTGGATTTCACAATTCTCCATAAACCTTCAATTTGTTGAGTGTGTGCTCCTGTTTCCGGGTCAATAAAAAATTCTGAATGGTTAACTGTTTGATGAATATATCCATGATGATTTATTGTTGAGTACGCTCTCCATTGGTCACTATAAATTGTCGTTTTTATTTCTTTTTTAATAATTTGTAAAAGAGTTTCTCGGTCCCGTTTTTCTACTATAAAAAATCGCCGTTCTAATCATAGGTCTGGCCGTTTCCAACTAATTTCAAATACCCATGGGCCTACTATACGATTGCCATAATTTTTATTTGTACGTACTATTTCATTTTCGTTAGAATTTTCGTTGTTGGAATTATTTATTTCTCTTAATGGCTGATGGTCCCCACGCTGTATTCGACCACGGTTATACTTCCTTTTACCTTGAAAAAGGGATTCGTCAATTAGGACAGTACTACCAGGACCACCCATTTTCTCTCTTTTTGAAAAACAATATACTTGTATATCTCTGCATAAATTATACCAATCAATGATGGTGATTTTGCTTCTTCCAGTCCAATTTACAGCTTGATTTGTTGGAACTAAATTAACCCAGAACCAAACTATTTCCATTATTTCACATAATGATAGCTGTCTATTACAACAGCCGTTAAGATCCGTGTAGGTAAAAAGTCATTATTTTTACAAATCAATTGGTAAGTCTGGCAACCCCGTTTTTTACATCGTAATGTTACAACTTTTTTCATAGTGTCATCAGAATTTCGTTTTTTACTACTTCTTAAATATTCGACAAATTGGCCATTACATACAACACCGTCTTTCACCTTTATACATGTCATCGGATTATCGGCCAGTAATAACCCTCAGTCTTTTAAATATTGAACACATACCCCTTCATCTCTAATAATGTTCCTATATAGGTGACCAATAATAGATGTTATGTTGAGTTAAAACATAAAAATTCACACTCACAAAATAAAACTCAAATAAAAAATCACAAAACTAGCGCACGACACATGCAAATGAAATCGGAACTGTACTGACTGAGGACAGTAAAGTATTATAAATGATTGTAAGTAGGTACCTATCGGAGAACAAAAATAGAATAAAATTCCCACAAGGACAATAACCGCGATAAAGAAACCTGTAGATCAACTCAATCGTATCGGTAGGTCGAGTAACATTTGTAGGTCGCATATTGGACCGTTACCCATGTTTGAATAATACTGTTAGTCTCAAAACTTCAAAGTTAAAGAGTGATAAAAATTGCTTTGGGATCCCCAAGTAGAATTTATCCTAACCTATCCTCCTCAAGGGGAATAATAAAAAGTCTAGTTGTTAAGTTTTTTTGAAGTATCACGGTTCAACTGTATTAATTTTAACCTTTTTATAGGTTGATGAAAATGGCAAGGTTATCCGTTTGAAGAAAGAATGTACTTCTGAAAATTGTGGTCCAGGTGTATTCATGGCTGACATGCCAAACAGGCATTATTGTGGCAAATGTTCAGCTACTGTTCCAAAGTAGAGATGACCTATGTATATTTTAAATACATAATATAAAATTTAAAAAAAAATTAATGTTTTAATATTCATTACCTATTTTAAATACAAATCTTTATCCTAATAATAATTCATAAATCCGATTTTTATTACATATCTAATAACTATGTATTTAAAGCTGTCATTTTTATTAACAATAATATTAAACCGGTGAACAATTATATTGCCAGTTGTATCTTAATAAAATAAATGTCCTAAGTATAATAACAAATTAAATAAAAACTTATTGCATAAGAATATTTGATACAAATTTATCTTAAAACTGTCAAGTAATAACATTGTAGGTAGTTAGGTGCTTAAATTATTTATATAACTATATTCAATCAATGTAAATTGTGGTTGCATGCCAGGTATTTAAGTACCCTTTAATTCTCTTGTTAGCCAGAATACAATTTGTAATTTTTTATTGACTTAAAATAATTTACTCTCAGTAAAAATGTTAAAAATCGCTGTATTAATTTTACAATATTCGGATCTTAATTGTGTCACAATAAATATGCTATTGAAACATAACTTAATTAACAATGTTTCTCTTTCTTAAAATACATTCATTTTTGTTAGTGGCAAATACTAAAATATACGTTCTACCAACATTATTTAAAGTAAGTGTGACCTATTAGAGTACGTCACCAGGTCCTGCCTAACATGAGTTACACTTCTAAAAAAATCAAAATCTAAAATTCTGTTTTCGTACCAAGTAAATAATCCATGTCATGTTCAAATAAGAATCAGCTAAAAGCTTAGTCTCTGAAGCACCTCAACATTAGTACTATCAATACTACTTAATATGAGACTTCATTCACATTTGGGTACATTTTCACTGTTGAATACCATCTTTGAAACTCCATGCAACCAGTAATATATTTGATAATATGATCTGTTGGTCACCTATGCGGCTATGCATTAATAGCATTACAGATTAAACCTAAAAGTGATGTCAATTTTAATATAAATAACCCATTAAATATTAAATTTTCATTATACTATCTAATTATTATTCATTTTTTCTTAAATATTTATTGAAAATTGAAGTTAAATTAGTTTTATATTACACGATAATACTTCTTCACAAGTCAGTAGTATACTAGAACTTAACTGCTAGAAATGAAATACAAAAATATGATCTAGGCTACCTATGGATCTATTCTAACTAGTTTTTATAAATATCAGTGGATTTTACATCATCATTAGTTGTTACTGTCGTGATAATTTGTATTTTATTTTATGTACATTAAAGATTAAATTCATTAAGAGACATGTACCTACTTACATTGTACAGATCCTATGCCATAACAAATTTACGTTGAACAGTTTTCATTAAGCTTCATTAGTTTAAAATAATAATATTTATGGGTAAAAGATAAATTTAACGAAGAAATGCAATCTGCTGAAAGTGCTAGGCACTAAGAAGCTGAAGACAATACATACAGAGTAAATCATTAATACTTATTGCTTTTACAATACATTGTAAACATAACACTGAAAGGAAATATTTATATTATAAAAATTGCAGACGTGGCATGGCGAATGGAGTAATCTGCTACCATTGCTTCTGAGTTAATTATGGTGGGCAATTGCCAATGGGTTTTGATTTAGGTAGTATTAATAAGTATTTTAGTGTTTACTGTGACAGGTAGGTACCTAGTTAAAAATATAATAGTAAATCCATTTATCTGGTATGGGTTGATGGGTAAATAGGTAAAGTATTAGACTTTCTCCTGGCAAATGTTAAGTCCCCCATCCCAGTAGTATACCACTGACTTACTATCAATACAATTTCAAAGATAAGCTAGTAGTATACCAGTATCATAAAACACCAAAATACAGCAAAACCTAATTTATTATTTCTTTATAACAAAAACTTATTAAAATGAGCTATATATTAAAAATGAATTAGGGATTTTATACGGTTGAACTTTTTTTTTTGTTTCTTAATTCGAGTTAGATTAGTTAATTAGAATAGTTAATTCTGAATAGTGTTTTGGATTTAAGGACCTAGATACACTGCGGTCGTCAGGATTATAATTTTATCTATGATATAAATTATAAGTCATCTTAAAATGTAAATAGGTACTATGATAATTCGTTTTTTTCATAACTGTCATTGTGAAAAAACATTTTCCCAAATTAAAAAAAAATACATTTTTCTTCAAAGTTACTCTAAAAAAATGATAAACTATGTATAAATAGTATTTACTTTTCTAATATTATAAAAATCATTGTCTATTTTTAGCTGTAACTGAAACTTTAACAGTATTTTGGAATTAGTGTGATAATATTTTGTACATTTTGTTTTATTTTAAATATTTTTCAGATACTTGACCCTCGTTGTTTTGTCGATTTTTAGTTGCGTTCGGATATTGGGTATTCTATAAAGGAGCTGAGAAGTGTGTATTCGGGTGGTGGTGACGGGGTATAGGTGTGCAACAAGTTTTGGATTGTGCGCAACCACTTCTGTCAGTGTACTTGCTAATTGCTGTGAGCTAAAATGTTGTTATGGGCAACATTGAATACTTCTAAAAAGTACCTATTTTGCCTATACAATACGCCGGGCAACACATATAATATTATGTTAGTGCAAAAATTAATGTAAATCAATTAAAAACATTTTTCTAACTTTTTTAGCCACGGCGTTTCTCGGGGATGAATGAAACCATCTGTGCCGATCTAGTTAGATCGACATTTGACTATAATATGAACCTTCTTTAAATTGTCCAAATCGAAAGAAGATTTTTAGTTCGTAAACCTCAACCATACACATTGCCGCCATAATATAAAATATATTAGCTGTTACTGCCTGTTACTCAATTTCATATGCCTTGAATAATAAAATAAATGCTGCCGAATTTTCCTCCAAACCCAAGTTACCAAAAAAAATGTAGTTGTGGTAGTAGGACATGGTAAGTGTTAAGCCTGTTTGTCCTGACGTTTTATAATAAAAGACGAAAACTATGAACCACGATTTCTAACTTAAATAATTAAAAATTAATAAAGTAAATTTAAAATGAATAAAATATGCAGATCTGAAAAACATAATCTATTTATTAGCAAAATAAAATAAAAATTGTTATTAATTAATGTGAGCTCTTATTTGATGGTCATGAGCTTATAATTCAATAACCCATGTTATGTTCCTACAAATATAGAGTAAAAAGAATTAATAAATAAATTTAAAAAAAATAAATTATTAATTTATGTTTATTGTAATAAAAACAAACCTTGTAAAATTACCGTGTACTTAGACTATAAGGGTAAGAAAAAATTATTTTTATTTTTATGCTCAATTAAACTTATATTAAATAGTAGCCCGACGCATTATGTAAAATACTTCTGTAAGTAGTGTATTTCAATTGTGCATTACATAATATAATTTTAAATTATACTATAAACTATACCTACGTTTAAACACCAATGATTGATATGAATTTGGACTCGAAATTATAAATAAGTTAGCGGCTATTTGTAAAATGTTAGCAGCATTTTGCAGTTCGTAGCTCAAAAGGGGTTGTAATATAAAGTCGCCCCCCATCTTATATTTTTTATATCGTGCGGGTAATTCATTTGCAAGTTCTGAAAACCAATCTGCAAATATTTGCTAATTATTTGCAAAATAATAACACAACTTTCAAAGGAATTGGTCATGGTGGAGTGGCCAACTTAACGCACATCTCCATATCGGCGAGGGAAAAGCACCATCGTCCAAGTGGCGCATATGAATTTAACCAATGTAATTGAAAACGCGAGCGTACGATACTCGTCCATGTGAAAAAGCCCTTATTGAAAGTGTGTACTGTTATTTTGAACAAAGAAATGGAAAACTTGATAATTATAATTACATAAACATAATGCGCTTTGTAGTTTATACAACAATATTCTATCGTCACCGGATAAAGATAAACTCATTATACGTGTAGTCTGTGACCGTGAAGTCGGTAGGTACTAATCAGTAATAACTGACCAAACATTATTAATAGCTACCTGCTTAAAGATGGTACTACGGTTATCTATGGTTAGTGGTTACAGCTTAATATTTGTATAAAATTGCTACACTAAAAATAGGCATATATTTATGATTGCCTGGACTTGGGTGATAGTCTAACTTATATACATAATTTTAGAATCATTTAAAACAATTTCCTATCAAGTCTTCAAATTTTCAAAATGATAAAAATCGATAATTTTACAATACACAGAATATTAGTATATGACTAAACATTCATGCGACTTACATATTATATCATAATACACCTCACGTGTCTGATAAAATAAAATAAATAAATAAACTGGTTTTTAGTAAATATTTTTACTCAAAATATTGCTAGTACCCAAATATTTAATAAATAAACATGTCAATGTGTTCATTATTTATTTAATAGCACTGTTCATCGTTTGTAATATTTTGCGGTTTGTGAGGGTCGTTTGTTTGGCCAAAACGATCCTGAAAATACGAAGCCGACATCTTTATTTCCTGCCAGAAATCTATTTCCTTTTAACACAATAAAAATAATACTTCCGCATATAAATGGATGTACAATTATAAAAAACGGTACTGCACTACCGCCAGACAGTATGGTACCGACTGCCGGCGTACAAGCATTATGTTTGGCACGTATTGGAAAACATTTCCATGAATCGACTTATACATCAAACGAAATGGTGTAAAATAGACACTTTAATTCCTTTAAAGGAGACCCGAACCGAACACCTAATCACATAACTAGTCTCATTGACACGTTTAATTAATTTATAAGAACTCATGAATGGATTTCGATAAAACTCTATTTTGAGTAAATTTGAATTAAATGTTTATAATAGCCGTTCTTTTGAAAGTAAGAATGCCCATCCAAGATTTAACCAAGTACCTATACTATATTTTGCAGTTCATATAAAAGAAAATAAACTTGTTATAAATGAATAAACGACATTATAGCATTCCGAAGCTGCAAATATGAGGAATGGCTATGGAATATAGACGTGTACCTATTTTCAAAGTCAAATTTTCTCGTCAACCGTTGACCGTTGTGCTTTACGAATTTACAAGTTATCGAGTAGTGTATAAGGTATTTAATCCTAAGACATAACGATTATTTACACTCACTGAGTAACTTCGTGGTTTTGTGATAATATTTCTGGAATAGCAGTTAGTAGGTACCTAGAGTAACTCATACGTATAATGACCATGGTAATTTTTTTTCATCTTTTTACCGCCATTATTATTTATTACTACCCGTTAAACAATGAATGAATTTTCCAGGGTAATGCTTTTGAATACGAGCCGACCATGGGTCACCTGGATGTTTCACAGGTAATAATATATGCTACATACCTAATAATATTATAAAATAATTATATAATTGTATATAGGTATATAAGTATACAGATATGTCCATAAACAATATTATATAAAATATATTTATTATTTTAGGGTCAGGGTCGCAGTTGTCGAATGTTTACCGCCAACTACAGCATGTAGCCACAGACTGCGTGGCACCAACAGTTATCAAACCTCACAAATCGACCTTTACCGCCATTTGTAGTACTTCACGTTAAAAATGAACAAAAAAAAAATACAACCATGACCGCCCGCTGGCCCAACACATCTGCTTTTACCTACTTAGAATAAGCAGCTGGACATCGGCGTCAAGCCGTCTCGTGTCCAAACAACCAAACGGAACGGTGTATTATACGTTTAAACCATAACGTTGTGTATAAATATTCCAAAAATAATACCCAGTATTTCGTCTCTGTATTATTATTATTGTCGGTTAACAACGCTCGACAATCATCTAGGGATTATTATATTATATTATATTTCCAATTCACCGTAGTACCGTACCATCATAATAATATTCTTTGCTAAGGTTTATACCGACGTTAGCCAAATTAGGATGTAGAGAAAAATGATCAACTCCAAAATATAATATATTGTATATCTGTTAATATCAAAATTCAAAACAATAATACTAAGATAAATTAAAACTCTTGAGTCTTAATCATATACCTACGTATTACCTAAGTACCTATATATGAATGAATACGCACGATATATATTATATTTTAATATTTTATTGTTACTAATCATCGTATTAATAAATAATGTGTTCATTAAAGTCTCGTCACACTTTAACTGGGGGTTATTGTAATACACACGGCGAATTGCTCTTAATGTGACGATGTCGCTGAAAGGGTTAAAAATGACGATGATATAATTGAAGGACGGAGAGACGTCATGGTCATCGAGTCTTCACTGGAACGTGTACCGGTAAAAAGCAATATAAACCGAAATGTATAAAGCAACGTTGGTCACATTTCCGCGTCCATCTGTACCACTTTTCTTTTTCAGACTCGAGTGTCACACGAATATCACATTTGTTATACAAATGTACCGTAGTAACCCAGTGTGTCGCGATCGTGCAATCCTGCAATGGTGGACATGTGGAATGTGTTTTATACATTAACGTAGTAAATATAAGTATTTAAAAACAATCGCGTAGAAACAGCGGCAAAACCGTAGGGATGTTTATAAACTCGAGGATGAAATATACGACGCATGTTATAGGCACGTCGCACGTATAGTAATAATATGTGTGTGTGTGTGTGTGTGTGTGTGTGTGTGTGTGTGCGTGTGTGTGCATGTGTGTGTGTGTGTCTTTGTCTGAGTGTGTGTGTGTGTGCATATGTGTATAGGTACATATTATGTATATGGATATAATACTTTTAGGTAGGTACCTATATTATACTGCGGCCGCAGAGAAACCTGGTTTCCAGAAATACGAAAACCACGCCCTTTGTCCATCGACTCCCCCACCCCTATTCCATACTACCACACGCATCACGCTTACGACCCCCCGCTCGTCACGTCCTGCCATAGAGGACGCCCGTTTGTCTGCCGATTTCCAGCGGCGGCCGGCCGGTCGGTCGGTCGGTCACACGTGTGATGGCTTAGATATATAGGTATATTTTATATATGCGTACACAATAGACCGGCAATACCCTCCGAAGACCCTGCGGTCATCATTTCAGTATCATCTCCTGTTCGATTTGGTCGTGTATTTGTGCTGCAGCAACACTGTGCGCGTCTCGTACACATTACTGTTTCGCGTCGCGGTTCTTCTGCATAAAAACATAATATAATAAATTAATAATATTGTACGCGTGCAGGACCAGTAAATCGTCTGCACTCTGCACCTTTACATTATATAATATACAGCTAGTTGGTGCGCTGAACGGCTATAAGTACGCGTCAAACTACGGTCCGTTCATAATAATACGTTATAACTTATAAATCATAGCACACGCATACTGTCAACTCAATTCGTCCGCATCCACGCACATCCACGGTACATGGTATTTCTTAAACGACATTGCCGGGCCCAATAACATATAATCCACAGCTATATCAGGTAAGCCACGATTGTTATTTATTCATCATAATAATATACTGTATGATAGTATAGGTACACCACATGATACTATTCTACGGTTGAGACTTTAGGGGGAGGAGGAGCAAAGGACCTACTGCCAAATTGCAAAAAAAATAACAGATATTCTACCTAGTATACAATTTATAATTGAATATAATATAGCCTTTTATTGTTACAGTATATAACATTTTGCGATGTATTTGTTGCCCCTCTCCCCCCAAAAAAATCAAACCCTATAGCCACCGCTGCAATGCTATAGGTTAGGCTTTTTTACAGTATAATTTGTACCTACACGAGATAATATTGCATAGTTGTGTGTGGCGCACATCAGTATGTAAATATATTATATTATTATTTATTATTTATTACCAATTGAATTTAATATTATAAATACAGATATAGTGGTCAGAACAAAATAAAATGTCAAAATGTCTTTACAAATAAGTATGCCGCCGTACTAAATAATATCATATTTTGACTAATTTGAAAACGACATAGGGCGATGTAGCAATGTAGCATAGAAAACGCGTACCTAGCACGTGAAAACGGTTTACGAACTTTGTATAAGCTATTTCAATGTATAATGTTTAATAATATCCCTATTATCTATATAGATATATATATTTTAAACAATATAGGAACTTTTTTGTTTTCACTCTAGGTTTAAGAATACTTTTTTTCTTTTATGTTTTTTCTAGAAAACCTTTTTCGTCACTTATTTAAAAAATGAAAGCATATTATATAATATACAAATGGGTAATTTAGGTAGACACGGGTTATCAGTAGATATATAGATACACAATGTGTGTATAGTATTCAATCATACGGTATAATATATATTTACTAATAATTTATATAATACTACAATTTCAAGAAATTATAAATATTAATTTTTAACACATTAGTGGTTTTTGAACATTCTGTTGAGCTTGTATATGTGAATGCCTAAATGCCTTTAAAGCATAATTTCCATAATAATCCAACCTCGCATTTAAATTAAAAATCATTAAAAAGAATTTCTGATGAGTAAAAAAAAATTATACGTTATACATGATTATAACCGTATTACCGGATAACATGATTTCACTTACAAATTAGGTATCTATAAATATTTACAATTTACATAGTTCAGGTATTCACAAACTCACAGTAGGCAATATACAAGGTGTTTTACAGTGTTTCACTAAGATAAATATAATGTAACTGGGTGTTCCTATTTTAATCTAATTTTTTTGATTTTGAACAAATTTACCATGAACATTCATGGTTTCAAACATTTTTGTTGACTACCACGTAGAATAAAATTCAAAAAACAACGACCTATGGCAGTGAAGACCATGGTCGTATACACGGGGGTACATTGCCATATGGGTGATAGATCCACCATGGCCTTTTTTGTATATATAATGAGTGTGGGGGGCACTACACTGCGATTTATTTTAGAAAATAATGAGTATATTATATTCTCTCCCCAATGAAAATTCCTCTCTACGACATTAATAATAACTAATTACATTATAAACAAATAAACAATTTAAATATAATAGAAATGCGTCTCGAGCACGATTGTAAAAATTTGGATCCCGTTTTTGCAGCTTTTTTCAAATTAACTCAAAACAAATTTCCAATTAATTATTAAAGAGTATATCGCTCTATGCCTCTAATCGATATGCTTTAGGCAGTCTGACAGTAACAATATAATATCATTGAAAAAACAAAGGGTAAATGGGTACTTATGCAATAAAAATAAATAATAGAACTAGACGTAGAAAATTAAGCACTAATCCATTCAGTACCCCTCATTTGATGATTTGGTGTAAAATTAATGCAAAACTTACACGGTATTTTATTGTAGATAAATATGATAAATATAATATTATGTTTTAAAAACAATGGTAAATGGTTATATTTCAATTTTAAATAATATGTTACACGTGTATTTTATGCAGCGTTAATATTCATATACTTACCGATTATTTTGAATTTAGGTACAATGATTATTTTACTAATATTGTTGGCTATGCTACACACCGGAAGAGCAGCCATCGCAGGATATGAAGAAGTGGAACAAAATTTAATTACAAAATTAGGTAACATTTATACAGTTAATTACAATAATTAATTAAAGCATGATTGAATTAAAATAATTGTATTTAATTATCGTTTTATTTTTTAGGTTTAACTCGAAGACCTGTAGTAGATAAAAATATGAAGATACCATCTGCCACAATGGATCTGTACAAATCAATGTTAGAAGAAAACAATGCAATGAAAACTCATTTTCCTCTTCCTGGTTTGCACGCGTCGTCTGCTAATACTGCTAGGACCTATACCAACAAAGGTAATTAATAGGTTTTTATACATAGATATGTATTAAATTCTATTTATACAAATTAAAGTTACCTATATTATAACAAACAAGTTATAACTCATGTCTTATATCTTTTAACTTTGTATTAAAATAAAGTAGATTGATACTAATTTATATTAAATTATTGAATATTACATTATCTTGAGATAATATATTTTATTAGAATAGATTTGATCAGTGATGAGAATAATTATTATAATTATATTTTTATAGGATCAGCCCCAAACAGTGCTAAGTCTAAAAGATATAGGCTACAGTTTGATATAGATTCTATACCGGAAGGGGACCAGATTAAAGCTGCCGAAGTTCGTTTTACAATGATACACGATACAATGCTACACAATGAAGAAATTATTCATGTGATTGTACATGATATAGTCCAACCTGGGGTGAAGGGCATAACAAAACCTATTCTCAGGTATAATTACATATTTATATGCGAACAATTGTTGTGTATTCGTATATAAATACATTTTATTTTAAATAATTATTAAATCCATTTAATATTTTATTTATAGAATTATCGATTCGAAATCAATCAACATGTCAAAAGTTTCAAAATCAGAAGTTATCAGTTTTGACGTAACACCAGCTATAGAAAGACTGTCAGAGAACAATTTCAAGGATAACCATGGCATGATAGTACAATGTGTCACGGAGTCTGGTAGTCAAACACATTTACTCAGCGTGTTTGACTTTTTATCACCCGAAAAGACATTGCTATTGGTCTACACCGATGACGGAACAAGTAAGAATAATGTTATTCTAACTATATGGTTAACTTAATATTGATATTCGATGGAAAGATAAGTAAATAAACAATAGTGAAATGTGAGGGCATTCCTAAACGCGGGCGTTGTTCAATACATTTAAACACAATTTTTAATTCAAAATTATTTGTAGCTACCATACAATAATAGTAGTCTCGGAAGTCGTCAATGTATATTATTAAAGACAGTTTTACCTATAATTCATTTTTTTTTTATCGATCTAAGCATCAGCAACTATGATCATTAGCATTTTGTGGGGGAGTTAAGGTTGGTTGAGGAACACTTGTATATGGGGGCGAGGATTTATTACTACAAACCTGAGTGATCACTTCCAGGAACTAACGGCGGCAGATGCTTAACCTCAGAACACTTTAGTGGCTGAAGCCAACCACCGAAGAGCCACACCACGTCCCAGATACAATTTATTATATTTTTGTTAATTTTACCATATAACTATTTTGTTGTTAAATAATTGTGACCTAGAAGTAATTAATATTTTTTTGAACCCTCACACCGCTCCACTAAAAGGTAATAAAAAAACACTTCTAAATACGCTCTTGTATATGATAATTACACATTTTTCCTTACTGAATCGAATACAACTTTATAGACTTTAACACGAAACGTAACAACATTGTTACGTTATAATGTAAATTATAATTATAATAAATTATGATGAATTTGAATCACCTAATAATAATATTGTATTTAATCGTTGTTCAGGTGAGAAGAGCACGCTGGAAGGGATGATGCAGCGTAGCAAACGGTCGGCCGACGAACCGGGAGGGCCACAGAAGAAAACGAAAAAGAAGAAAATCTGCCAGCGGTATTCGATGTACGTGGACTTCAAGGATGTCGGGTTCAGCGATTGGATCCAGGCGCCGCCAGGTTACGACGCTTACTACTGTCACGGGGAGTGTACGTTCCCGTTGGCCAATCACATTAACGCGTCCAACCACGCTGTCATGCAGACGCTGATGAACTCGTACAACCCGACGGTAGTTCCGCGGGCGTGCTGCGTACCGACAAAGCTCAGTTCGCAGACGCTGCTATACGTGGACGATGACGGGAAGTTGGTGGTGAAGAACTACCCGGAAATGACCGTGGATGAATGCGGATGTAGATGAAGGCTGTGGTTTAGCGGCAGTTATTTCAACGTCATACCGCGCCTGCAGTAGCTGTGTTATAATGCCTGAGTGTGTACATATAATATAACATAAAACTTTGTCGTCTCACTTTATTACCCGGGAAATGGTCGATATACATATTATGTAATGCCTCTACATAATATACCTATGTACAGTGTATGCGTGCGTGTTTTCTGCCTCAGAGTCAAAAGCGTTTAGCGCGAATCTATAAAATAAAACCTATTTATCCAGCTCTAGTTCTACCGACATTGATATAAATAAATATGTACACCTATTACAGTTTAAACACGCACATATAAAATATTTTTTTACCAATAATGTGTAAATAATAATGTACCTGCATAAAGAATAAGTTTATAAGTGTAAGTACCTGCAAATGGACCGAATTGTAAAAAAATAATTATAAGTCTAGTCCAAAACCAATACAATATTCAGTTTTAATGTTTAATAACCATGACGATTGTGTATTAGATAAATGTTTGTACACAAAACCCTAACACAAATTGTTGTTACTATTATTGCTATTCCTTCTATTTAAATTATTTATTTATATTTTGTTTTCGTTGTTGTTTTATTAAATGGTACTGCATACTGTATTTGAATAAATATTATTATAATGTATAATATATTAAAATAAAAATGTAATTGCATTGTATATTGTGGTTTATTTGTTTGTCATTTTGATAGCTGAGTGTCACAATGTCAGCTTGACACGATTTTCAAATTAATAGGCATAATTATTAGGTGGTATTAAATTCTATATTCAAAATATGTATTAAGTAAGTATGTATACTGTATAGCCTGATAGTCATTTTATATAGCAATTTGGTACTTTACATTTTGATTAATACAATAACTATACAAATAACAATATTGATCCGATGTGGGTTCATTTGGTATTTTTATGAAGACTCGCTTTTTTATGTTGGATCTAGAAACAGGTAGGACTATAAGAAGTTTAGAATAAAGAGACACACGATTAAAATTGAATATACAATAGGTATGTGTCAAGCCAAGTATATTAAGGAGCGAAATTAAAGCAATTATTTGTAGAGGTGGAACTGAAATCAACACTACTCTCCTATTATTCATATTAAATTACTATTTACTACTACACAGCCACGAGAAACCTGGATGATAAAATGAATATAGATGGTCGAGACATCACTAATTACCAATAATAGATCTAATATTCGAATTACATAATATTATACAATTATTTTTAAACTATTATCAGCAAAAAAATGTATACTCTATACAGTATGTATTGTACATACTTCTTATGATTCTAGGTTATAGTCTTATATTATTATGTCTATAATTCTATAGGGATTAGTCAATTAAATAATTAATAATCCAGTGTTATACTTTAAACACTTATACACTAATTAGTAATTATACCTTTTGTCTACATAAAAAGGAAATTTGAGAGGGCTTGCGATTTTTTTAAAGATATATATTTTAAATATAATATGTTGGGTTGTATAACGTTGGTGTTAGATATAGTATCCACCGTCGACCGGCCTCTCCTGATATTCTAATGGATTCCTACAAGATTAAAGAATGGCTTATGAGTTGTAACAAATAATACCTAAGTTATTTAGTTACCTACCTTTATGTAACTTAAAAAGGACTTAAAAAAGAATTATTAAAATAATGAAAGATAACTCTAGGGGTACTAATAAAAAAAAAATGTAGTATTTGTAAGAAACCAAATTTTTGGTTTAAGCGCAATAATACAAGAATCATTAATTTGTCAATTAATACTTTCCGCATTTTGTTTTCACTTAGACATATGTGGTACCTACATAATACGAATGTATAATATACTGTTAAATGTTACGTTCAAACGCTTTCACGATATTAATCGTCTACAAACCCACTAAAATCCATTGATAAAGAGCCTTTACACTCAAACCATACCGAGAAACCCCGGGCGTCGTCTAAAAGGAACTGGTGCCGTGATTTGTTATAAATAAAAAAAAACAACGAAGTTCTAGCCTCTAAACATCGTTAATTGAGAGCCAAGTGTCACCAATGGATGATTTCTTGATTCAAAATATTCATGTTACTATTATAATATCATATATACTTATTGTGCTACGTTGTAGGTACAGATTGTGTATTTAAAATTGTAAAATAAAAATGTTACGTTCTACGCACTCCTAATTCTTACATATATATATATTTTTCTTGAAACCATACAAACTTGATATTCTAGAACATGATACGCGTATACATTACCGTTATTCGACTGATATTGCGTAATTTAAAAATAAACCAGACAGACATTCGATTTTGCTTTAATTTTAAAAGTTCTATAAAATTTTAATATTTAATATTATGTCATATCTAAAATAAATATTAATATATAAGTATAAAATATATACAGAGTACAGACATGTCTATAGACCTACAGTAGAACAGTCAATAGACGTGCAGACTAAGTACATCAGGGCCTGCATCAGACGTCAGACATAACCAAATAACTATATAAGTACCAAAATAGGATACATGTTCAAAATCAATGGGTACTACTTTCTAGTTACTACTAAATAGTAAATACTTAATTCTTACACGGCATTTAGGTATTATTCCCAAAATTCCTGCATTGATTGAGAATTTACAGGACTGATATCAGAAAAAACCAGAATATGGTCAATAAATATTGCATTAAAAAAAAACGATTGAGTGTGGAGACATTCCTATTATTTCTAAGGATATTTTATAATTTATATATATTACCATAATAGCAACTTATTTTTTATTTAATGTTGAACTAATCTTACTAAATTCATTGAATATTATGTAATAATAGTTATTATATATTATATCATAATAAATAATAATGTACTCATTAGCCATTACTGTTATACTTATAAGTCAATATCGCTTACCTACCATAAAACAATGTAAATAGGCTATTAGAGTCGTGTCTCGTAGTATAAATAGACTATACAATATCTTTGTGTATAGGTACAAAAAATAATAATATACGTAACGGCAAAAAATTAAGTAATCTAACCTGTATGGTCTGGATACAGTCCAATGGCACTTGTCTAGTGTTTTTTTGTAAGACAAAAAGTTTAGGCAATAGTCATCTCCAATGAAAATTGATTTTGAAATCCAACTGCAGCGAATTGGATACTTCGCCCTGGTGTTTTTTTGTACCTACGTCCGTATTTAAAAAAGTGTGAAGTTTTAAAATTTAAGCTGTGATATAGAGTAGTTTATAGTTCAAAATTACATGTCTACATAAACTATAGTTCTCATAAAAAAAAATTACCAATTAGTATTGCAACAATAATTATGGATCTGAAGAATTTATATTATATTATTATGTCGCATCCACAAGCTGAAATCACTCATTTCGTGAATTGGATATCTAGATAGTGAAATTCGTCCAGATCGTGAATTTTGCTGAAAACATATTATTAAATGGGCATCCATTTATTGTGGAATCATATAACGTTTGGTCGTCTGAACACTATATTAATATATTCTGTAGAAATATAAAACTGTATATCTAATAACATTAATACTTTACACTACGTATACTTTGTACGTAAAGTATATATCTTTTTAAAAGTTCTACACAAGTTTATAAGTTTGAAAACATAAAACATAGGTATTATCACTATTATGAACATGAATTAAAACTAAAAACCTTAATAATGATTAATGAAGCCATACTTCACTGGTGTCACGCGTCGCCTACGAACTTTAAAAATGTAAATCAAAAAAAGCTGTACCCGAGAAACAGGACTTTTTAGGATAGGTATAATTATAAATTATTTATAATTAATTGCGATAAAATACGATATCCCAGACAATGTTTATTGTGTGGAAATTAAAATTATGCCAACCTATAAATTTAAATATTTATCAGGTAGGTAAGTACCTACCGGACTATCTACCGAGTACTGACAATATTATTATTGATTGCTTCATAGTATTCATAAAATAATTCTAATTGTAATCTGTTAGTATCTTTAAGACTATACCGAATGAAGTAATTATTTTCTTTCATAATTAATAGTGTAATACATTTATAAGAAGGATATTTTTGAATGATAATGTTATATGTATAGGAAATCTAAAAAGGTGAAAACGTCATGTCTTCAGTCTTCACAGATAGCTGGTAAGCACGAGGTGTTTACTTTACCTTAGGTACATATTATTTAGTAACATAACCATTAACCACATAGGTTTAGGTGGTTAAGTATGGTACCTATATAAAACTGCTCAGTGGTAGTCGTGATACAGACATATTATAATACTTACTTACCTACACATTTAAATGTCAGCGGGTATACACCTATAGGTGTTTGTTTTAGTTCTATAATCATATTATTATATGGGTTCCTATAAAGTTTTTAATGTTTTTACTTCAACTGTTTTTTAAAATTTAATTTACCTTTAAAATACCTAGTTAGGTATGTGTAAGTGTAAGACCTATAGCCTATATGTAAACGAAGTTGAACTAAAAATATAATAGAGGTCTATGATGTAAGATCCCCTTTTCCCATCATTGGTGTATATATTATGCAGGTGCATTGTGATTTCGGCTGATCAACTAGATGGCAGCGTTGCTTCGTTGAATTACTTTCTATTGATTCAATATTAAATTTCCGATTTTTTCAAGACAGGCGTGAGGCGTGGCGATAACTGTGAACTGGACATAGCCACTGACCACTGTTCAGTAGTTGCTAGTCAGTAGTCAGTACTCTCAGCAGCTGCTTGATACCTACTCACTACTCAGTACTTACTCACTAGTCTGCACTCTGCAGTAGGTACCTAGTCAACAGACATCCTAAAACAATGCCTTTGGCCAACATAACTCGCGTTGAGAAGTTTAGCTCCTGTCACCGGCTCCACAGGTGGGTACACATACTCATAGTATTATTCGTTATATGATAATGTATAATTATTAATTTATGCATTTTATACAATTACAGGTAGACCTAAACTACCTATTTCCCTTTTAATGTATTATGTATTAATTCTAGACGATTGTTTTTGTACAGATTAATTCAATTATTATTCATTACCTACTTTAATAGTCTAATGAGTATTATAATTTTTAATAGCTACACTAAAAACACATATTGTATACCTACTTATATGTTTTATATTATTTTAAATGTTTGATCATTTTTGTTCATCATAAAAGGCAATAGGAGGGACTTATATATTTTAAGATCAAGCATCTAAATACTTATTTATACAATAAAATAATGTAGAAAAATGTAATTGTTTTGACAGATAAATCAATAGTGAATAATATGAGGTAATTGATTATACAAAAAATTTTATTTATATTACAGCAACAATTTAAGTGATGAAGAAAATATAAACATTTTTGGTAAATGTAACAATAAAAATGGTCACGGACATAATTATAAAGGTATTTACAATGTTATTTTTACTATATTATAAATTATTCTTCAAATTTTAAGAATAATTAATTATTGCATTAAAAATGTTAAATATTTTGTGTAGGCACATTAACGATTAGTCAGATGTGTAGTTTATGTATCTATCATAATATTATATACCAATCTTTATAGTTTATTAAACAACATTATTATTATTGTGTCTAATTATAAACTAATATTAGTTATGAAATTACTATTTATTACTCATGGTTATATTTACAGTTGAAGTTACAGTTAAGGGCCTAATCGATGAAAACACTGGCATGGTTATGAACGTTTCTGATCTAAAAAAATATATAGACATTGCTGTAATGGACCCATTGGATCATAAAAATCTGGATATGGATGTACCTTACTTTAAAAATCATGTTAGTACGACTGAGAACGTAGCAATTTTTATATGGCAAAGTTTAAAAGATGTTATGCATAATCCTAATTTGTTGTATAAAGTTAAATTATTTGAAACTGATAAAAATATTGTTGTTTATAAAGGGGAATAATTTATTTATTTTTGAGTAAATACTTCCTGGTGGCTGTTTTAATAACAATTGTATTTTTATAAAATTGTATTTGTAGTTTAATGAGGAAATGTATTTTTATCAATATAAAAAATAATTGTATTTACTGTTTTCATATTCAATTTCTTTAGATCATGTACAATTAAATGTATTTAGATTTTGTATTATAATATGATTTACACGTGAGCTTAAAATCAAAATGAAATATAATGTTCAAAAAAATAATCAACAAAACTTTATTGTATTACAAATAACGTATAAGATTACTTTAATGAGAAAACCATTTTATTAGATTCCTAGAAATTTTCAAAAAATTACTTTTAGAAAATGAAATTGAATGTTTTGTCTACAACACCTTGAATACTTTTTTTGGATCAGTTAATAAACGTTAAGTAGAATATTTTACTGAAGTTGGTCCACGCTACTCATATTTTTTTACGTTGCAGATATGGGGGGGGGGGTATATGCTGTGTAATGAATATAATACATAAATAATAACAAAATGTAATTTATTAAACAAACTTAATTTGGTCTAAAGAGTAGAATTTTTTCAACTTTTTATATGATTTTTGAAAAAATGTATAGTTAACATAATATTATTAAGATCATAAAAAATGAATTTGAATTAATTAATCAGACAATTCTTCAGTTTCAACTGTACAATTCGATGGTAATGTTTCTAGTTCTTCATTTAAAGTTTTCAAAATATTCGCTGAAAAAATAATTAAGTTTTTATATAAAATAATATATTAGCTAAATATTAGGGTATTTTACCAATTTCATCAACAAAACAATTTAAATTAATTATATTACATGTACAAAAATTAAACAAATAAAATATTTATAATCATTATAAATTCAATTTTTTTTGTTTGTATACATTTTAACCATGGCTCTCGACGCTCTCGTAAGTAGTCAAATGACTACTAACTACAAAATTGTGCATTTACATATCAATTTTTGGCATTTACATTGATGGTGACTTTTTATTTAGAGTGCATTTAAAATTAATATGTTTTTAATACTTAAAAGTTAAAGTTAACTCATTTTGATATGTGGTAATAACCCTTCACTCTATTCCTTCTCTTTCATATAAATTATACATGTAAATAATTTTTTCTTATTTTGGTAATGGCCAAACATACTAAAAAGTAAATCAGTTACGTAGTAAAATTTTTGTTTTTTTTGTGTGTGATTCATCTTTATCATTGTCATGTATGGGTAATATTTATAACTTTACACTACATTATTTTGTAAATTGTTTTAATGTATGTAACTTCATGAACAATTTTATGTCTCACTGGATCAACTGCTATTTGAAAAATATCAAATATTTAAAATACTGTGACCTATCATGATTGTTTTTCAATAAAATGTTGTTGTCAATGTTTTTCAAGTAATACCTTATATTATTTTTATTTTATACAACAATATAAATTACACACATAAATAGTTATTATCAGTGCAAAGAAACAGATGAAAACATTGAAAAAAAAATTATAATGGTTTATTTTATAATTTATAAATAAAACCGAATCCCTCACCCTAATATTTGTAATTTTAATTATGAATGATTAAATACATATTTTTTTAGTTTAGGCATCCGTTTATAATTTTTTTTAGACTTGATTTTTGCACTAACCTGAATTTACGAGCTCTGATAACATCTCATTCATTATAATGTTATTATATAAGTATTCAGTATTGTTATATCAATTAAAAATTAAAAATGGTACACAAAATAAAAAATATATATACTTAATAGTTAATAATTAATACATATATTATGTGAAAAGCATTGTCTACAAAGTAATTACAATCATTTAAGAGTCACTTAAAATATTCACTCTTCCATAAGTTGTGAGATGATACAGCTATACCAGGCACAGAATACATTCAATTAAAATTGTATCTATTCCGTATTTCCGGGGTACAGGATCGTAGTATCGTAGATATAATATGATATTGTTCAAATAGCAGCGAGTCTGACGAGACATGACAATTTTTCGTAAAGTTAGTTGAGAACATTAAAACACTTTACAGAAAAATTAAATTATAGTATACAAATTTGAATATTACTTATGCAGAATGATAATGAAAAATACATTAAAATTAAGTTGACAAAAACCTTAAGACTAAAAAAAAACATACTTAAGTGTTTTACTTTGTAATAAGTTTATCCCTTACAAAAATAAGGAAAAAGTATTTAAGTATATAATTTATATTAAGGAGAAATAATACAGTTAGGTGTCAATGTGTCATCACCACATATAATATGTTTATTAAAAATTATTGGTTAATTATTTTTATGTAATTACCTTCGTGGTTATCCTGAGCAATCATCTTTCTTAGTTTTTCTTTTTTACGTTTCATCTTATCACGCTTCTTTTTCTTTTTTATCTCTTCATTTTGAGGGCAATTAAATAGATCTTTTTTCGCTGAATTTGGAATTGATTTGTCTTCTTTAATTAAATTAAAAAATATTCCTCCAGATGTTCGTCTACGGTTACCATTCTAAAACAAAATAATAATAGCTTAAATACAATTCTTAACATCAAATTAGCTAATAAGTCAATTAATAAAATAATTTGTATTAATTGAATAATTGTCTAACCTTTATCATTTGACCACCATTAGCTTCTATTAAACAAGTTTTCTTATATTTTTCAAGAATGATTTTCCTGTCTATTTTGGATATCACAGATACTACAAAAATAAAATTGTAAATATTTCATACTGTAAAACATACATATTAAATGTATACATTTAGTATAAAATATTGTTAAATCATTGGTATGGATTCCAAAATACTATAATATTATCATCATTCATAACTATTTTTTGTATCATTAAACTCAAAGTATGATAAAATGTAGTTTGTATTACCATGTATGGGTTTTAACACAATAATATATTATATTTATAGCTAAAATATATGTGGTTATACTTTAATTTGAGTAGTAACGAGCCTAGATTTAAAGGGGGAGGCAGCACCAGATAGGCAAAGTATCGGCCCACGGAGGTTTTTGGATTTCTAATGTTTGAATACTGCAACAGTCACTATACAGTTTAATAATTAGATTAATTTAACAACAAACATTTTATTTTTATTATAAAAAAATCAAAAAATCAGACAGTACTGTTACATACTATTTTCATATGAATATAATTTATACTCCACTCAAAATAAGATCATTAACCGGCAGCGACCAGTGTTTGTCAAACGGGGATCAGATGTATTGTTAGACCCTTCCTCTACCAAGTTGACGAGCAAGACCAGTGCTTTGGAATATGGCCACGCCCATGCACACAACCCGGCCACCGGGTAATGATGTGTCATTGCCAAACCGTAATTTTTACTGTTGTATACTTAAACAGAGTTGAGAAAACGTAACAATTTTATTTTAAAATTTCCAAAAGTACAGGATTTTTTAAGTTTTATTTTTTTTTAATTGAAAATAATTTTTTTGAATTCATTTGTTTAGTAAATAAAAATAAATGTATTTAATGTTATTATTATATTTTTTAAACTCAAACCTAAATTGAGCCATTTTATTGAAAATATTAAATAATGATGTGATGTAAGTAATATTATATAAAAATAAGTATATTTTATGTTAATATTACTAAAGTAAAATTAACATGTTTGTAATATTAAATTATACTATTACTAAAAAAAAGATATAATTTAAGTATTTTATTTTAAATTTAATGAGAGTAATAAACTTATATTTTAGATAATAATATAATTGATTAAGTTTACATAAAATGTATACTTAATTAACCAATGGTGACTGGTGATATTGTTTTTTAACAATGAGTTATATTATAAAGTTATGTGTACACCTATGTGACTAATGTTAATATACTTGAATAAAAACAGGACTAATTTTATTTTGATTGATTAGGCTCAGAGCTAATACTTAGTTGTGGCCGTTATGGGTCTCTAGAGGCTTTAAACAAGGACATAGAATTTTATGGTAAAAAATGCAAATTTAGCAACTATCAGTCTAAAGAAAATATCAAACTTTCAAAATTCAATACAACACAAATATGTAGATTTTAGAAATGTTTTAGAACCACATAATACTTGATAAAATAATCAGTAAACAACTTTGAATATGAGTTATAACTAAAATCAGCTTATCTGATAGGAAGTTAATAGACCTGAAAATATTAAATCTAAATATATTTAACCTTCAACCTAACTTACACATTAAAATCTTATTGTGTTCATAAAGATTTGTGCACAACTCATCCAAAAACTGATCTATAGTCTTTTCTTCAGAATCACAAATATCAAGCAATATCCTAGACTTTGATGTATTGTCATTATTAGCTCTTTTTTCCTCAAATCCTTTTGAATTTCCATATTTATAATTGCATTTCTTAACTCCATCACCATGTGAACATCTTTTCTTCACAACATGATCCAACTCCAAATCACATTCTCTTAAGAAATAAAACAATATAATATTGTGATTATTTTCATGATTCATTTATGATAAGTGCATAAATAATTATTACTTACTTTTCTCTCTTTTTATTTGACTTAGTTGATGAAAAAACACGTTTCCGTTTTGATCCATTATTCCTGAATTTAAATAATTTTTGTTTTAACTAAATATTCATTATTATTAAAATAAAAGTCACAATAAATACTGAGGTAATTGAGACTATTATTTGTTAAATTAAAATGTATAATATGTTTCAAACTCACATGTAATAGTGTAGTAAACTCAAGTTTGTAATTATTAATGCCTAATTCATATTTCTCATATTTTTAAAAAATAGTAAAATTGAAAAAAATATGATGTTCAATAATATCTAATTAGAGACAAATTTAACAAATGTTTTTTTTTAAATATTTAAAATTATGAAAACATAATTTAACATTTAACAAATAGAATGTTTTTTAATAGCAATGATAATAAAATTGAATTGAAAACTATACTTAGGTGCATGGGCAAAACTATAAAACTGTATTAGGACAGGTCAAGTGATAAAATAAGAAAAAAAATTGTAATTTCAAAATTAGTTTTTTATTTAAATTTTAAATGTTATAAAATCAGTAAGTTATCCAGTCAGGTCATGACCTGACTGGCCTGACCCGTAGTTTCGCCTATGTCTGTAGGTATTATATATTTTTTTTTAATAATTGAATTGGTTATTAGTAGTTTGGTATGCCATGCACATGGTATAACATTTATGTGGGATTCATAATTTAAATTACCTTTTTTATTCACTTTTTGAAATTTTGAAATCCTTTCAAACATAACTTAATAATTAGTAAGTAAATGAACATATTCATACTTGGGCTCATAGTTTGGATCATCCATATCAGTGTAAGTAGCTGTCTTGGGGGTTACTTCAAGACGGGTAAGACATCCCTCCATCTGTTCTCCGACAACAATATCTCTCCAAACCGATCCCCCTTTATGATCAACATTAATAGTAGTTTCTTCAACCTTGTCGAAATCATAGTCTGTATCATCATAGTCCAGTTCCAATGTATCTGAAATTGACTACACAAAAAATTATTTAATACTTAAACAACCGTCAATATTTTAAACATTTACTTAAGCTATAAAAATGTATATATTCTACCGTTTAAGTTAATTGTGACAAAAAATCTAAACACATTATACATTTACCTCGTTATCAGAGTTGAGAACTGGAGATGCCGAATCCATTACAAGATATATGAAAATTTAAATATCATACAACTTATTTATATTATCATCAAACAAAGTTTAAGATACGTAAAAACGTATTTTGTCCATTAAGAAGTAATTGCAACAAATTAAGTTCACAATTTTAGACTAGGTGTAGCATGGGAATTTCGAAACTTCGGAAGGGAAGTCTTCAGTTGACACTCTAGATACTTTGATAGATAAGTCTTGATTAGACTTTATATCAATTAAGATTAAAACCGTGCACTAATCGAATTAACGAATAAAATCGTTCAAAAATCGACTATCAATGCAATTACAGAGGTATCATATAATTATGTTTATTTATGACTGCAGCAGAACGAGAACTGTTCCTACCGAGCTCATAATATGTCAGATATCTTTACAACATAACAATACCCAAGGTGTATTATGTAAATATACCATGGAAATATCGCATATTAAAGACATCTGTATCATGTGCTGCCGGGTGGTGACTGGTGGCCGGCGGGTGCTGCAGTTACTTACTGCTATTTGCAATTATTACCGAACGGCGAACATATAAAACGTATAAAACAGTTATCACGGTTATTAGTTATCACAGCCTGCTGTAGTCATAACATTCAGAAATCGATCTTTCCATGTAAAAAACGTACCCAATGGAATAATAAACATCAACAAACATGATTCAAACCGCGTTCACCACGACTGTGTAGGCACAGAAGGTATTTATACATTTATACTACCATAACAGTACAACACGATTACACCAAGTGTATATAATTATTTCTATTATTCATCATGTTTATGTATTATGTATGAAGATGAATGATCTTGTCTACACGGTGGCGTTTACCAATAAAAATAAAATATAATAAGAAAAAATAATTAAACGGGAAGTATTTCAACTGTATTCTAAAACACTAAACAAAACTATTACCTACTTATATCTTTATTAGTTATATTTCCCTTTTTTTCTGTATCCCGTGTTTTGCAGGTATTGAAATTTATTAAGTGTAGTAGGTTTAATCGTATGCAGTAGTTGAATCGATTATTTATGAAATGCAATTGGTTGTTTGGACTTATAGGAGGTAACTGTTGAGCACAAAAATTAAAACGTTATAAAAATTAAAAAAAAAAACTGTTCCAGTGACGTATTTTTAACGGTCCCTTGGTCGTCATTATAGATGAAAATTTCATCATGAAACTCACTGTGCAATGAATTAAGTATCATACGAATTTCATTCCTTTCAAAAGTCAACGATCTGTCTATAGGTATAGCTAGTAACCACAAAACACATGTTCACAGAAAATCAGTTTTTGAAAAATTAGGTACCTAATAATAAATAAACGATTCATTAAATCTGATTAACAAATTTCCTGATTATACAGAAATATAAATCACACATTTAATAAAAATATAACTGAATAAAGACTTTCATAAAAATGTTGAACGAATAAATTTAAGTATATTAATTATTGATACAGATAAGTATATGTATAGTCGTATAAATGTAAAGTGTACCAGTTGAACAAGTTAGCTACACGTGTAGTTCTGTAGTTCTGACTTACAGGGGCAAATTTAATAAATTTGGCAATGGTGCAGCAACCTTACCCCTTTGAGCCTAGAAGAATAAAATAAAATTTTATTTGAGTTTAAAGCTACTAAAATATTTTGAGCTGGGGGATAAATGAATTTATTTTATAATTATGCGTTTTTTACACGTTTTATAGTAGTATAAATGCTTTGATATTTAACTTGAAGAGTGGTTTCTGGTAGTTGGTATATCCTTTTTGAAGATTAAAATAAAACTCAAATTAATGGGGGAAAAAAAATTAGGGGACAATGTGAAATTTTACCCAAAACCAGTAAGTACTTTGTATTCACCAAAGAATTTATTAGAAAACATACATGGTACAATTTTCAAAATATTTTTAGTTATTTGTAGATATTTAAATTTTTTTCAAATTATGTCTGATAAAATGTTAGTTTTCAAGCAAAAAACCTTGATTAATACATATGTTACAATTCTGAAATTAAATTAATATAGTATTATAGTTTGAGACATAAAATAACTTAAAAGTTGAAACGTGTAAACGACGGTACATTATGAGACCGAAAATTCATACTATTTAGAAATCCTATATAACATATGTCACATAAGATATGTGATGTTAATCGTTGTTCGAACTGAACAAAATCATCAAGCGTGTAAACGTGTGGAAAAACTGCAAAGTACAATATTGGTGAGTGGCATGAGTCCCGGCAACTGACGATAGAGACGTCGATGGAAGGGTGATCAAGAGAGATTTAACATTATAACTTATAGACTCATAAGTCTATAACTAATATTTAAGTAAGGACACTACGTATAATATAATAATAATAATATCTACCAAGACTGAAGAATGATTTATTAATTAGTTTTTAGATAAATTACTTCATTATAATAATTTATCTAAAACTAAATTAAATCGTCATTGATTCAAATTCACCTTACTAGTACTTACTTTTAAATCGTAAGAATTTGATGGATTTACCCAAGATATAATGAAAAAAATTAACTAACAGCAGTGGTGGTGAAGTGAAATAGCCTAACTATAACGCCGTGTGGTAATACATTTCAGGTTTCAGTTTTTTACTATTATAATGAGTTCATATAGAAGTTTTTATTCGATTTATGTTGATTGAATTTTTTTTCATAGTCTAAAAGCTTGGCATTTTAATACAAGGTTTCTCATATAAAGTGTTCTTATACATCAATTAAAACATATCGAAAATAAATTGCACATTGTCTTTCCTTTTTGTGCGCGTTTGAAGTTCTATTTTCGACATAAATCGTCAAAAACACGAACATTTGTAAATTATTTTGTAGATAACAATTAATAAAAGTTTTAATTTTAATACATGGATGGCTAAATATTAAAAATGTAACAGTAGATTAATTGTTACACATGTTTCTTATAAGTTATTTTATTTATAGTGTTATTCTTATTAGGTATTTATAAAAAAAGTGAAGCGCTGGTAATGCACTAATACCACATTCATTTTTATGGGCATTATTGAAGTTCACATTTTACCAAACTCGATATTCTTAAATATGGTACATATTGATTATAATTCAAAATATTTTGGCAGAATAGAAACTGAAAAACATATGAAGTTTCTAAGCCACCGCCGTCGATTTTTGAGGTCTGCTGCTTTTTGTTTGTCTAAATTGTCTATCTTGTGATGGAACTATGTAAACCTGCAATTGCCTACTAGGTAGTCACATTTAAAACGTGCTGTGAAAAGGTAATCTACGAAGCCAACTTTTGGTCAGCATATATATACAGACCATATCGACCGAACAGTGTAGTAAATTATAGACGCAAAATGATTCGGGAAAGTTCAGGTTAGACAATAATGGTTGCACCTTGCAAAATAAAACGACCAAACAATGTCCAATCAAGGACCCAAAAAAGGTCAAAATAATTTGAAAATTATATCATGTCTAGAAAATTCTAATAAGTACCTACTTTTAAAAAAGTTAGCCTACATTGGCATGTGTTAATCGTGTGTTAATTGTTCGCTACACATAGATACATTATACGTTTCAGAAAATCAGAAAACCATTTTATAATTAATATTTTCGAGCTTTATTGAACTTAGATATAAATATATAATATATTCATATGCACTGATAAATAATAATAAATAAATAAATAAAAAAAAAAAAAAAACAATAATAAAATACTTAAGTTTGAGTTTCTAACACAAAATTTTTATTGCACAAACCATAAAACAATACGAGACTCAATGCAGGCAAGCAATATTATACTTAAAAAATAACAAAATAAACGATAAATACTCAATGGTTTACGATACATAGTATAAGCATTCGACTATTAAAGCAGTAAGGTTTTAGGACTATTCGATATAACTTAATGTCGTTTTAATATTGGCCATCTATTTGTGCTCCTATAAGCGCCTATATTAAGTTATATAATTGAATAAATCATTTCAGATTACAATACTATAATATTTGAACATTAAGAACAAATGTTGTTAAGACATTATAGATAACTTCCTATGGTGTATATCTACGTGTAAGATATTCTAAACATTAGGTAGCATTGGATACAGGAACGTAGACGTGCTATCTCGGCTTATAGAATTTTCCGCAACACAAGTATATTCACCCATGTCTGACCAGCTTAAGTTGTTCAAAATTAGCTCTCCTTCAGGACCCAACTGTAAAATAAATAAAAAATATCGTAATTAGACTATCGTGATATAAAAAAATGGAAGGGAATTATTTACTTTGCGTCTTGAATCGATCTCAGTGTCTATTATGTTACCAAAGTTGTCTTTCCAATATTGTCTGTACGGTGCACTGTCTGCAACTACACAAGGTATCACTACAGTTGAGCCTATCATCTGCGTTATGATTGGACTCCACTTTACAATTCTAGTTTTACCACTGGAACACTGAACTGCCCTGCCTGAATAATAATAATAATAAGTAAGTAATTATAAAAATATGTATTTAAGTAAATAACTTATGAAATGTTTAATTATATGTATGTTTTTCACTTTTAGATTAATATGAGTGTAGAAGATAGAACAAGTACAATAAGTGGAATGAAATAATAGTTTGATATAAACTTATTTCATTTTATTTTATTGAAAACATAATATATACCTTCAATTGAAATTGCGACTGGGTCACTTGCCATGGTCTGATCCCTTGCTTGACCACTACACGTATAAACACCTTGGTGATGAGGTTGGACACAGTCAATTACATGCCTTACAGTAACTTTACCGACACTTTGAAATTCACCAGAATCTTCGAATTCATTTGGACCTAATGTAATCTATAAATATAAGTATATTACTTATTGGATATAATAAATCATTATTTAATAAGTATTTATAGCATACAAATACTCTTAATAGATTTATAGATTTTGAACTATCTATTTACCTGGTTCAGTTGTACCCCACGATTCCATTGTGCTTGAGGCACAGGACTACCGAAAACCGTACATTCAAGTTCAACCCTGCCACCAGGAGGAACTCGAATAGGGTCTGAAGGCGTTGCTTTTACCATTACCCAATCTTTAAGTTCAAATTTCGCTGTATTTTTTTCATTACCTGATGATAAAACAAATGACATTTAAAAAAATAAAACAAAATTCATTCTATTACTTAATATGTAAAATGACGTTATTGAGTTGAAGTAAACATATTGAAATATATTAAGAAAATATATCAACTAACCTCTAAATGTCGATTCGTCTGAAAGTGAGTTCTGGAAAAACAAAATTTCAAATAATTAGTTTAATAAACATTACATGTGTATGGCCTAATTTCATGTTATGTGAAAAAATGAAAATGTCTAATAATTTATGGTTTAGTTTATCACATGCGTGACTGCTATTAATCCATTCAGTAAAAACGTTTTATTTTATAATATTAAATTAAATTTTTTTCATCAAGATCTATTGCGTATTTACGTATATAACAAGAAAAGTCTTATTAATAAACATACACAACCTTATATATTTA